GAGAAATCCAGCGACTGTTTGTCCTTTTTCAAATGTTGCGCATGTGTGAAACCCCCCCCCCCTCCCCTACAGCTCTACGTAGAAACACCTCCTCCTCCTCCTCCTTACGCCACAAACAGGTTGTTTACAGCCGGTGCTGCACATGACTTGTAAACACTAACTACAGTTGGTTAGACAAGACGGAGAAGGAAGGAGCGGGGGAGGGGGTGTGCGGACATTTGTGCCAATGAACTAGCTACAACACGCAGCAACAAGCGGACTCTTTCTTTGCCTTGAAAATTACATCTTCAGACATAGGATATCGCTTTCGTGTCCTGAAAAACGTTTGTCTCGCTCTTGGAAATAAAGTACGTTTTCATAATAACAGAAGTTCCTGTCCAGGAGTAATTTGTGGACCAGTGGTCAGTCTTTAGACCCTGCGTCTGCTTCAGTCGCGCCATCGCTGGAATGAATCTTCAGAATCACCTTAGTTTGGCTTCGCTGCTTTTCCCCTTGTCTTCTTCTTTCAGCGACCTCAAAAAGGACTTTTTTTGCGGGAACTGCTCCTGGATTCTTTGCCATTGCAACAAACTTTGTGCGAACTGCGAGGAAGATATAGGTAAAAAAAAGCAAGAACTGTTGCGTTGGTGGAGTAAACAGCGTCTGTGCGTCTTGCGTCTGTGGACTGTGTGACAGTCGTACGTAAACCACGTACCGGCGGCGCAGGCAATCAGTTACACTAGAAACGTAGGGAGTTTGATTGACAGCCTGTCAGCTCACAGATAACGAGGCAGTGTCGTTATCTATTGGAAATGTTTAGCCCAGAGTTGATGAATTTTTATTCTCTTTTTTTTGGTCATCATAATTACAAGGCGACTGCATCTATAATCTATCATTGACAATTTGAAACAAAAAAAAAATCCTCCATACAACCTTTAATATACCAGTCAGTCCCGTTAGTGGCGCATTACAAACTATTTTAGAAGACATGGCCTGTCTTATCATTTTTATGCAGATGATTGCCAAATTTATTTACCCATTGGCAAAGAGGATCACTGCCCCCTGACCCCCTGCTCGACTCTATCGGACGTCAAGGCTTGGTTGGCCCAAAACGTTTTGAAACTGAATGAAGATAAGACTGAGGTGATGCTGTTTGGGGCCAACATTTCCCTCACTGATGTGGGATTCCTCAAAAATCATGTTCGTCCCACAGTCACCAACCTCGGCGTCGTCTTAGACAGTGATTTAAATTTGATAAACAGATTAACAATGTTTAAAGTCAAGTTTTTATCATTTGCAGCTTTTATCTAAAGTTAAACCTTTTTTATCTTTTAAACTATTTGAACAAGTTATGCACGGTTTTATTTCATCGCGCCTGGACGACTGTATGCACTTTATTCCGGCATTTTCGGCAAAAACGCACTTTACCGACTACAGTGAGTCCAAAACTCTGCAGCGCGACTTTTAACAGGAGCAAAAAGGAGAGAGGCAAGGCAAGTTTATTTGTACAGCACAATTCGTACACAAAGTAATTAAAAGTGCTTTACAGAATAAGAAATACATTAAAATCATAATAAAAACTAATCAAAACATAAATAATCATGAAGATTAAAATTTAAAAAAAGAGAGACATAAATTGGAGAGAAGAGTGCGGAATGAAAACCTTTCAGTTATTTGCACAGTTAACAGAAATGTTTTGAGTCTGGATTTAAACAGCGTCACAGAAGAGTCTTGTTCTCACATGTTCAGACTGTTCCAGGTTTTAGCTGCATGAACCTGAAACTCTGACTCCCCTTGTTTAGTCGTGACTCTGGGCACCAGCAGGAGTTGGTCCCTGAGCTCCTCAGAGTGTGAGATGTTCATATGACACTAACATGTCACAGATGGACTTTGGTGCTCGGACATGGAGACACTTGTACAAACAGAGCTGCTTTAAAGTCTCTGAGCCACAGGAGCCAGAGCAGAGACCTGAGACCAGGACTTATGTGCTCGTACTTCCTAGTTCGAGTCAGGACCCGAGCTGCAGTGTTCTGGATGTTCTGGATGTTCTGGATGTTCTGCAGCGTCTCACAGCTCGTTTGGAGAGACCAGTGAGCAGAACATTACAGTATCTAACCTACTGGAGACAAACGCATGGATAAGTTTCTCCAAGTCTGATTTAGACAGTAAACCTTTGATTTTTGCTATGTTTTTTAGATGGTAAAAGGCTGCAGATGTTATTGATTTTATGTGACTGTTAAAGTTCAAGTCTGAGTCCATTATTACCCCTAGATTTCTTGCCTGATTTGAAGGTTTTAGAGAGAGAGACTGGAGGTGATGCTGACACTGTCCCTTTGTTTCTGTGGACCAAACACTATGACTTCAGTCTTGTCAGAGTTTAGCTGGAGAAAGTTGTTTTGCATCCACACACTGATCTGTTGGATGCAGTGACCAAGTGACTCCACTGGTCCATAGTCTCCTGCTGCCAGAGAGACGTAGATCTGAGTGTCATCTGCATAATTGTGGTAGGACACGTTATTGCTGCTTATTAACTGGCCTGTAGGGGGCAGCATGTAGAGAGCACATCACCCCAATCCTTGCATCTTTGCACTGGCTTCCTGTTAATTTTAGAATTGATTTTAAGATTTTATTGTTTGTTTTTAAAGCTTTGAATGGACTGGCTCCACAGTACATCTCGGACCTCATCCAAATTTATACCCCTGCCTGCGCTCCGAGGTCCGAGGTCCAGCTCAGGGCCTAAGACGGGACTTAAAACCAGGAGGACAGGACCTTCTCTGTGGTCGGCCCTAAACTCTGGAACGATCTGCCGCTTCACGTTGGAGCAGCTCCACAGTGCAGAGTTTTAAATCTCGTCTAGACCCACTTTTATTCTCTGGCTTTTAACACCGCGTGAGTTGTGTGCTCCTCTGTGTCTTTTATTTATTTTTATGTGTTTTTATTGGTTTTACTGATTTAATTTATTTATTGGTTTATTTATTTCTATTCTATGATATAGTTTTATTTTTATTTTACTGGTTTTATTACTTTAAGACTAGTATTATTTTAGTAGTTTACTTTATCATCTTATTGTCGTTATTTTTTATGTATTTGTGCAGCACTTTGGAAACAGTTTGTTTGTGAAATGTGCGACAGAAATAAAGTGGATTGGATTGGACGAACGTCACGACCAAACGGCAGCGGTTGGTTAAATAAAAAAAGTAGAATCCTAATGCTGTGAGGTCAGACGGTTTCTACGAACCTCCTGCCTTCCTCCTCCTTGGTCCTTATAGTCGACCTCATGACGTCGCTCTCAGAGGTCAGCGACAAACAGTGTTGGGGAGTAATAGATTACATGTACCGCCGTTACGTAATCAGAGTACAAATTATGAGTAACTGTATTCAGTTACAGTTACTGTTTCAATGAGTGGTAATTGGATTACAGTTACTTTGCTGAAATAAGTGGATTACAAGGCGGTATTTTCCTGTTTTCACATTTTGTGCTACATCCCATTTATTTATTTTTTTATTTCGGTAATTCCACTCATTGCCGGAAACTCAAACAGAACGTGACAGTAAGAGCGATGTAAACGTCATGTTAAAGTTGGTGGTGTCAGTCACACAGTGGAAGCAGCAGTGAACTGGTAAAAACACATTTGTGTCTTGGAAATTCTTCTCCCGATGTGAGATATATATATATATATATAAAATATATATATATATATATATAAAAAAAACAAATATAAAATCGCCTACAACTTAAATGTGAAACAGGAGCTACTGGCACTGGTGAAAACAACCTGCATAGACTCATAATATCTGCACTACTGTCATATACACACACACACACACACACACACACACAACACACACACACACACACACACACACACACACACACAAACACACACACACACACACACACACACACACACACACACACACACACACACACACACACACACACACACACACACACAACACACACACACACACACAAACACACACACACACACACAAACACACACACACACACAACACACACACACACACACACACACACACTTCATCATCATCATCAACCTGAGAACCTGTGGACCACGTTTCCTTCTGTAGTTACTGCGTCGACACCGACGTCTCGTGCGCCGCGTGTGGAACCTGTTTTCTCGCGTAAACCTAACACCAGGACTAAACCAGAACTAAACCAGGACTAAACCAGGACTAAACCAGGACTAAACCAGGACTAACCAGGACTAACCCAGGACTAAACCAGAACTAAACCAGGACTAAACCAGGACTAAACCCAGGACTAAACCAGGACTAAACCAGGACTAAACCAGGACTAAACCCAGGACTAAACCACGACTAAACCACGACTAAAGAACTAAAGACCTGGTCTAGACCAGGTCTAAAAACCAGGACTAAACCAGGTCTAAACAAAATGACACCTAACAGTAGGTTGACATAATTTAAGGTGATCTCATATAATTTCTCTATCAATAATATTTTTTTAATATGTTTAAGGAAAGACTGATTGTTTTTGTCTTTTAACAGACAAAACCTCTGATCTTCAGATCTCGTGGTCTTTGTTTCTCTACAGTTTCTTATTCATGGAGACTTGGACTCAGACAATTTGAAGAAAACAAACAAGAATTTTCAGGATGTGGTTGTTACATTCATGTCGTTTAAAAAAACATGACAATATCAAGTAATCCAAAGTAATCAGATTACGTTACTCACTTTAAGTAATTTAATGGATTACGTTACAAATTACATTTTGGGGTGTGTAATCTGTAATCTGTAGGGGATTACATTTTAAAAGTAACACTCCCAACACTGGCGACAAACAGAAAGAAGGAGAAAGAAGAAGGTGTTTTTGCCCATTTTCAGATGCAGCCTGAGAAAAATGAAAACTTGAGCGTGTGTCGTCTGTCTTTAGGTTTCACTGGTGACCCTGGTCCAGTTGTGTCTGTGAACCCGCTCAGAGGTCAGAGGTCTTTTCATAATCCCGCTGATGATGTTGACGTGCTCGTGTGTCTCTGCAGGGTGCGGACGGCGTCTCTGGTGCTGATCTCCCCCTGAAGCGCGTGGCCGTGGTGGAGGACTTCTTCGACATCATCTACTCCATGCACGTGGAGATCAGCCTGGACCCCGGCAAAGCCCCCAAACACGCCGGCCAGAAGAAGACCTACAAGGCCGTGAGTACACCTCCGCTTCTGTGGCTCTTTCTTTGTGAAGATGTGAGTTATTCAAAGTGAAATGGAGCTCAGGTAAAAAATTCACGCTGCAAAAGGAGAAACCCTGTATTTATTGAGTTTTTAAAGCTTTGAACCATGTTCCCTCATCAAAAACGTGCCTGGAGTTGTGTTTTTTTTTTGTTTTATTGACACTTGTTTGATGAATATTGTCCACCCCGCTGTTTGAATTTACCCAGGATTGTTGCGTCACAAGTAGAAACTCTGCAATATTGAAATCAGGATTATTCAATTTTTTTTGTTGTTGTTGTTATTTTATGTGTGTAAAAAAAAAAACAAAAAAAACTACTTCTCCAATTCCTGTAACTTTCAACATATTTCACAATTTTTTTTTTCACAAATTTCTTCACAAATTGCTTCTTGACTGGTGTAAAACTTTTAGATTTACAATTACAATTTACAGTCCCACCAAATCAAAATTAGACAATCAATTAACATTTTGTCTGGAATGTTCCACAGTGCGGCATTAAACCTTTCTATGCTCACTGAGACCAAACCAGACCAAGTTACAGGTCAGATCTGTGGAGAGGCGACCGCGCTCACAGTCAGATCGTCTGATTTTCTAAGTATTTTTGAGCTGTAAAACCATCTGTAATTGAATTGAGCTGTTTAATGTCACACTGCGGCACTTTCCAGACAGAGCAACGACGTAGTGTATCCATAGAAACAAGCAGGTGATGGACCCTAAACCAGAAAAGTTGCGCAATGTACCTTTAAATTGACACAAATTGGGAAATAAAGTGTATTTAAATATGAATGAAGAATACGATGTGTGATAATAATAAAACAAAAAACAGAATCCGGGGTTGTAAATGTCAGATTATTTTGTTGCACTTGACAAATTCAGAAAATTCAGAAGCAAAAATACAAAATTATGACACAAAGTGACCGTAAACCCCACTTTTTTCTTTTTTTTTAATAACGTTTCATCATCACAAACATACCTGGAGTCATGTTTTTGTTTTGCTTTGTTTTGTAGATTAGTTTAGTTAGTTCTTCTCTCAAACAATACAATACAAGAACTGCTCCACTGTGTTTTTAAAGTCCACACACCTTCATTAGACTCATTTGAATCATTTCAGCGCTGGAATTGCCGACCTGTACGCTGCAAATTTCTCTGATCCGACCAAGATTTTAAAACGTATATCAGGTTATTCATCTTGTTTTCACATTTATTATATACTTACTTGTCCTGAGATGCTTCATTCTAGTCTAGAGGCCGTTTGTTTTAAGAGAACTTGTCAAGTGCGGCAAGATGATTTCACAACTTTGAAGTCATTTTCTGATAGATTTAAGTGCTTGTGTGTTAAATTTTGGCCAATTTTTGCAGTGTACCGAACAAAACGTAAAAGAAAAGGAGCTGTAAGTAATAATAAAAGGTTCTTCAAACATGTGTGAATGAAACAAAACTCAACTCTAAGTCTGTTTTTGAGGACGTTACAACTTTCTGACTTGACTAAAAGCTCTCAGGAGAATGTTGGATCACACAAATATGTAAGAATGAAACAAAACTCAACTCCACATGTGTTTTTTTTTAAGAGGAAACGACTTTAAAATAGCTCAGAAAATCTTGTGCTTTAAGCTGCAGTCGTCTCTGTTGTCGACACTGCCCTCTTCTGGCTGAACGTCAGAACTGCACCTCTGACAGACACATTCCTTTAGTGATGCAACGTGACAAAGTAAAAGTAGTAAAGTACTGCGATTAAGTAGAATTTTGAGGTATCCTAAGTACATTTTACAGTGGATACTTTTTACGTTTGAGAGCAGTATCTGTACTTTCTACTCCACTACATTTTTTTCCAGGACTGAAAAGTAAAAATATTTTTGATTTATAATTGAGTCCTGCTGAAAAAGCTGAGAGTTTTTACAGTGTTTTGACGCATTTATAATTTGAGCGAAACAAAAATGCACAAATAAAAACAGTAAGAAAAAAAATTTATTTAATTGATTGAATTGTTTCAGCGCAAATCTGTCTCAAAATCACCACATTTGAAGCTTCATTTAGATCTGTGAAATACTTTTACTTTTTACTCTTTAAGTATTTTTAGATTTTAGATGAAGTATTTTTGATTATAGTTTGAAAAGGTTGATGGTTCACAATATTTTTTAGCACATTTATAATTTGAGGAAAAACAAAAATACACAAATTAAAACAGTAAGGAATATCTTCATTAGGACTGTGTGAAATACTTTTACTTTTTACTATTTAACTTCATTTTTAACATGTACTTTAATACTTTTACTTAAGTAGTTTTTGTTCATGTGATACTTTTACTTTTACTTGAACAAAACAGACCTGGAGTTGTGTTTTTTTTTTTCATTCAGTCCATTTCAGGACTGAAAAGTATTTTTAGATTTTAGATGAAGTATTTTTAGATTTTAGATGAAGTATTTTTAGATTTTAGATGAAGTATTTTAGATTTTAGATGAAGTATTTTTAGATTTTAGATGAAGTATTTTTAGATTTTAGATGAAGTATTTTTAGATTTTAGATGAAGTATTTTTAGATTTTAGATGAAGTATTTTAGATTTTAGATGAAGTATTTTTAGATTTTAGATGAAGTATTTTTAGATTTTAGATGAAGTATTTTTAGATTTTAGATGAAGTATTTTAGTTTTTAGATGAAGTATTTTTAGATCCGGGAGTTGTATCACACCTACTTTGATCCCAAAGGGGCCGGATCAGAAAACTCATGTCATATAAACCCCAAAAATAACAATAAGTTCAAATATTTGTGCAGAGAAACACAAATCTATTACAGAAATCTTTTTTAATTGATGAACTCTTTCTTTTACAAAATATTATAATATTATGAACAACCTGAAACTTTAAGAAAAAATCTATTTCAACACAAAGTTTTAACATGAACTTGTCTGTAAACAGGAATAAGTCAGTTTTTCTTGTAAAATCCTGCACTCGGCTCCACTTTTCTCATGTTGGACATTTTTCTGATGAGGGTGTCACGGTCAACAGTCAAAACGATCGTCCTTTAAGAGCGTTTGGAAAGAGACAAGTCTTCATTTGTGCTGCTCTGGTGGGAGGGGCCACGTACAGAGACGCTGGAGACGCTGCTGTGATAAACACCACAGAAAATTAACAAGATTTTAATAGAAAATATAATTAAAATATTTTACTGGAAAATCACCCAAGGGCCAGATTAAAGGTATTGGAGGGCCGGATCTGGCCCCCGGGCCTTATGTGATATATATGTAAACACACGCACACACACACACACGCACGCACACACACACACACACACACACACACACACTCCCACACATGCACGCACAAACACACACGCGTGTGTGGGGGTAAACACAGACACACTACTCTAATTCATATATAAACGCACTCACACACACAAACGCACACACACCGACACACACCCACCCACACACACACACACACACACACACATACACACACTCACACTACTCTAATTCATATATAAACGCGCACACACATACTCGTACACACACATGCGTGCACACACACACACACTCGCCCACGCCACCCCCCTCTCTCTCTTTCTCTCTTTCTCTTTCTCTCTGTGTCTTTCGAGCGTCCACACACAGAACAACACTGTATGTACTGTATGTATTTTTTTATTTAACAACATGTATTTCCGTCCGGAGACACACGTTCTTGGCGAGCAGCGTAGCGTAAAAGTTTAATGGGAGGAAAACGAAAACACTGTTGGCGATAATCAAAAGGAAAACACTGTAGGTCGTCGCACCAGCGCAGAGCGATGTTACTGACTTGGACGCGGCAGGAGGAGTGTTTGTGCTCTAACGGGAGCTGAGCGTCCAGTCGTGTACTTCTCACTTAAAGGGTCAGATTAGACTATTTTCTCATCTGTTTTTATGTTTCCTCATCACAAACAGACCCAGAGTTGTGTTTTGTTTTATTCACACGTTTAACACACAAACCCTGCAGATTTAGTCTGAGTTCTTCTCTCAAATAGAAAATCCTCTGTTCCACCTTGTGATGTCATGTGGTAATACAGGAAGTGCTCCACTGTATTTTTAATCTCCACACACCTTCAGCAGAATCATTTGGATCATTTCAGACCTGGAATTTCTAATCCCTACTGAAATAAAGGTAAAAGGTAAAGCAAAACCTACCACTTCATGACATCACGAGGTGGAACAGAACATTTTGAGCTTTTCTCAAACATGTGAATGAAACAAAACACAACTCCAGGTTTGTTTTTGAGAAGGGAACATTCTAACAGGATTTAAAGCTCACAAGAATCTATTTTGTGTAATTTAAGTTACACAGTTAAAACATTATTCCAGGTTTGTTTGTTTGGACACATTATAGGTGGTCAAAACCAAGAAAAAGTTACATGGTGTTGCATTATCCCTCACGCTCTCCTTGGGGTCACACTGATCTGAAGAAATTTTTTTCCCCACTCTCTTGGGGCGGGTCAGTCAGACCCAAAAATTATTTTCTCGCCTGGCGAGAATTAATTTGAAAATATATTTTGGGTCTGACTGACTCGCCCCAAGAGAGTGGGAAGGAAAAAACATTTTTCTTCGGGTCTGTGTGACCCGAGGAGAGCGTGATATTATTGTTATTTATGTTATCTAGAAAAATGACACATATTGCATATGTCTGACTGCACTTACTGAAATGATCACTGTTGTTGTTTTTGCTAATTCTGCCCTTTGTATTTGGCAACTGGACCATAAATCATAATGTAACAGAGCAGAGATTATTCAATAACACTATTTATTTCAGAGTGATACCTCTGCTATGTAAAATAATCAATGTTTACATGTGCACTGGTTGCTATGGTAACTGTGGCACAGATATGGTAAGGAGCTAAACATGAAGAAACTTTGATAACTTCAGTGTTTTTAATGGGTTTCTAAAATTAAAAAAGAAGACAAACATTCAAGTGAGAACATAAGACTGTGGAGCTCTGACACAACTTCAG